AAATAACCAACGAAAAAAATATTGAATACGTATTCATTTACCTTGGCTTTTATATATATATATATATATATATATATATATATATATATATATATATATATATATATATATATATATATATATTGAATTACCTATATGTTTTCATACCATTATGTGTAAGTGGTTATCTATCAAGTGGATAATATTATTTTAAATGTAATGAATTAATTTGTTGACCAAAAACAATATTGATAAATATTAAACAAGTAATACCGGTGCGGATTGCAGACTTGTGTAAGTTTGTTCAAGATTCAAAGTAGACTGTCATTTAGAGCGAAACCCTTTAATAAATGAGGGTCCGGGGCAGCGCCCATGGAAGCGGGGTCCGAGGGTCGGTAGCCCCAAACAGGGTCTAAGGAGCAGAGCCCCTGGCAGGGCTCAATATAAAGGTTTATAACTATCATTTGGTTATATTGTAATGTTAAAAATGCATTAGAAATCTGGATTTTAAAAAAACTGACCTATTTTTTTACTTTGCCTTGGCTCTTATTAAAAACCCAGTTTTGTGACAGTTGGAAATTGTCTTGTGAAAGTTTGTGCGATTTTCAGACATAGATTGTAACGTCCTAGAAATTACAAATAGAAATTTCATTCAAATAAATTAGCCAATTAAAACCTTTATCTTAGAAATCATTATGTAACATTCGTTTAATAAAACCATAAATCATCATAGTTAATTTACAAAACCATGGAAACTAATACCTTTGGTGCATGTGTATAGTCCCGCCGAGCTCTTCTTATAAACAACCTTCAAAAACATTTTATCCACAACTATAAGCATAAAGCTTAATGAGTTACAGTCACATATTCCATTATATATACAATGCACCCGCACAAAGTTCTCGGCTACCGCATCAACCTGCCAAATCTTCTATCAACATACATACATAATAATCATATATAAAGTAACGGGTCTACTCTAAACCCTAAGTGAATGCTATGGGCCAAATCGTAGTCTTACAGTCACATCTAGCCATGAGCCAAATCATGGTATTTCCTTACCATTACTAAGGGTCAGATCCTGGTCTTCCATGTGAGTGCCAGGGGCCAGATCATGATCTTCCACACAATTTTTAGGGCCAGATCCTAGTTTTCCATATAACTTCTAGGAGCTATATACTAGTCTTTCATGCAACACATATAGTCATATGTAATCAGGGATCAGATAGACAGTCGAACATGTGATCTACTCGAGAGCGAAAAATTAGACAAGAACAACAAAATCTAGCATTAGACCAAGAGTTCTCAGGCTATCTAAGTTAGACTATATAAAACTAAATTTATCATTAGCACATAATCATATAACATAAACACATAACATAAACTAGCATATTACAATCCCTAAAAACTAGCCTTCCTTAGTTACCCTATCATCGACCACTTCTTAATTAAGTTCTTCGTTGGTCAAACATACATAACCCTAATAACTAGTATTCCCCAGATTCCTTAACAAAACATAACTCATGACAGTATTATACCAGCAACATGAAACACCCTACCAGTGTAGCATAACAAGACACCAAATGTCCTAAACTGCACATGCATATCAAGGTGTTATCCGAGTCAACTAACATACTTGTACTCTAATTGTATTCTATTGTACAATGCAAAGGATATACAATGGGATACATGACATACTAAGATACTCACCTGAACTGAGGAATTCGAGAACCACAAAAACACTCTTACACCTTGCATTACTCAATCCTATGAACCGACTAACACCAAAAGTAATAAATATTCAATCAAAAAATCTTTCAAATCGTCCAAGTTGAACCCAATTCAAACTTGTCAAAAGTCGACAATCAATGATCAACAAAAGTCGACGACCACCACGACGTGGAGACCTCTTGGCCATGTTGTGGGCATGAAAAGACAAAATAGATGGGATGTAGGACATCATCATGTCGTGGTCTATCCTTGGCCACGTCATAGGAATTTCAGGACAACATAATCGTGAAGCTGGTCTCCACCACGTCTTGGTTTATCCTTGGCCATGTGGTGGTCACTGGTAGAAGCTATTTTTTTCTCATTGAGGATTTAATCCATTAATTCCTTTGCTCTAAATTTCTATAAGGTTTCCTTGCCCTTAATAAACCGTAAAAATCCTTACTTTTTGGACATGCATGTCCAATGCATGTCTCTCCCATAACTAGGTCAAAATAGGGTAAGAAATGGGGCTAAGACTTGATGGATGACGGCAATCAATATGAAAGTATAAATCAAAAACATATGATGACCAAGGGAACTCACGAAATGATAAAGTTGCCAATTTTATCAAAACCAACCATTCATTTCAACATAAATGAAGGAAATATGCTCAAAAATATTGCTCTACAAGGATGAACAATAAACGTTGGAACTTGGAGACTTACCCAATTCTAGAAGATGCACCAAGAGATAGAGACAAGATGCTAGTTGATCATTTTCTCAACAAAGCCTTCCTTTAACCTTCAAATGACCAAAACACCAACAAAGAGCTCAAAAGACAAGAAGAGAGGCTAGGGTTTCGACATAGGATGGTGGGGGCCGAGGGAAATTACTAAGCCAAGAGATAAGGCCTTTCAATATGGGGAAACCATAAAAGTTATGGCATTGGGCTGCAACAACTTCCAAACTATGGCTATCGACTTACCATATTGTGGAAACCAAGCGAGACGCGATCCTTATTAAGTTTCCATGTCATGTCGTGGCCATCAATCCTCCACGTCGTAGCATGTGGTTTTCTCCAAAAATCGTAGCTTAAACTCTAATAATTCTTTAACTGACCCGTTCTGGAAAACAGACATTACATAGATGTTTATAACCATTTTTTGGTCATTACTTTTGGTATATACAAAATTCCTAACAAAATCACTCTTGGTTATTGCATTTCATTTATGAGTTATATTCAATTGTTTATTTTAGGAGTGCCACCAAAATACTTCAATTTGAAAGTATCATGAAAATTATCCGAATTCCAAGTGCTTTCATACCCTAAAATTCTAACATATGTATCTCTAGTCATTTGCAAGCATATGGATTTAGCATCCCAATTTATTTCACGATGTAACCATTGGGTGGTCATAATGCGACAAGGGTAAATATGAGAAACATGTTTTGGGACCAATCTCACGACGTGAGACACAAGGTCTTACGACGTGAGAACTAGTATAGCCCAAGCCCATGATCTTTTAGGGTTTCCTTCATATTTAAGCCACTCTAATTAATTTTTATGACAACCCAAAAATCATGATAAAATATTTCATTTTAGATCATCAAATTGTTCCAAAACATCGACAAAGCACAATATCAAAATCATCAGAGTAATAGTATCCAAAAGGTGCAAAAATTATGAGGGGAGGATGTTATGCCATCACGACAGGCTCTTCCCCTTTGCACCGGATGTACCTGAAAGAAAAACATAAACTGTAAGATCAAGTCTTAGTGAGTTCCCCGAAAGTACCACATACGAAACATACAACTAGGCCTATCCCTAGGGTATATTTCAACCCAATACACAAATATGGGCCCTTCCTGGGGTATATTTCAACCCGAGCATGCCATAGTGGGCCCCACCATGGGGTGTATTTCAACCCGAACATGCCATAATGGGGCCCCACCCTGGGGTGTATTTCAATCTGACATGAAATAGTGGGCCTTGTCGTGGAGTGTATTTCAACTCGAACATGCCATAGTAGGCCCCGTCTTGGGGTGTATTTCAACCCGATCCTATACATATATGTAACATAATAGCTTGCATTATACATAACATGATTATACTTCGGAATTGGTGCCTTCGACCCATGGATACAGTGATGAGACTCACCTCACGAATAGACAAAATAGGAGCAACAAGATGTTGCTCCGAATACCGACTCTATCGGTCACCTTTACATAATACACTGATCACTATTTAGACTATAACTCAAAATACCCAAAATACCCCTAGGTGAAACTTAGTCAAATCATGGTCAATGTCAAAAGTTAATAGAGTCAAATCCATCAGACAAAACCCTAATATCGGGTCTCACGTTGTGACCAGTCCTTGGTTACATCGTGTGTAACACCCCGGATTCCCAGGTATTATTTTTATTCATTTATTTTTGGGTGATTGTGAGGGACTCGACGAGTTGGTGTCTAAACTCGCCGAGTAGGATCGCAGTTTTGTGCACGGGTTCGCGTCTGGACTCGGCGAGTCCACACTGTTTAATGAAACCCTAATTTCCAGGGTTTGAGACTTATTTAAAGGGGCTTATGGCCGTCATTTGAGGCCACCAACCCCAGAGAGAAACCCTAAAGAGCTTTTGAGCATTTTGGGAGAGAGAAGAGGCTATTGTTGACTTTTGAAACTTGGTTTGGCAAGGCAAAGGAGATTCTAGCTAAGAGGAGGCAAGGGAGGTGGACATCCTTTGATTTTCGAGCTCAGAGCATCATTTTGGAGGTATATTTTTGGCTTCATTTTCTGTTGTTATGATGAACATGGGGGTTTAGCACTCCTATAAAAAAGGCCTTTTACGACGCGCAAACAATGACACGCGCTGATAGAAGACACGCATTTGTACGTGCCCTAAAAAACAATGTCAGTTTTACAAAATCTGAAGGATAGAGGTCACGCATTTGTGCGTGCCCCCTACAATTAGTGTCAGAAAAGAAAAAAAAGGAAATACGAAAGGGCGCCTATCATAAACTGTGTGTCATCTAAGTGTGTCACTTTATATTTCTTTAATGAAACACGCGTTTTAAGCGGGAAAATGAAATCCTCAAAAATTAAACAACCGCCTATTCTATCTGAAAGTTTAACACCCCCCCTCCGCCTCTTCCAATAAGAAAGAAAGAAGCCCTAGGGTATTGGTCCCTACTCTGATTGCTTTCCCTTTTCCCTTCGTCCTCCTCCTCCCTATCGTTTTTGGTCACTGATTTGCTGGAGTCGGATGAAGTTACTGTGTGCGCAGTGGTTGAGTCTCTCATACCGATTGTGAATGGGCTGGGTCTCAAATGTTTGTCATTTGCTATTCAATTGCTCTTCTTCTTCCACACCGCCTTTGTCCTCTTTGTCGGATTTTGTTCCATCTGTGTTGCCCTCGATGGATGTTGCTTTTATCCCTAATTTTGGAAGTCAGTCCACCGAAATTACAGAAGTGGTTGATTGTTATGGATTAACTCCACCGTTGATTCTTGGTAAGGTTTTACTGTGTCTTTGTTTCCTTCGGTTTCCAATTTATTTGCCCTTCATCTACTCTACTGTCAATTTTTCTTTAGGGTTTTTATCGTATGTGATCTTTTTTGACTTCATGGATTCGACCTGATTTTTAGGAACGATGAAGGAACTTTATCGGTAGTGGAGATTCTCAAAAACAGGAATTTTATGTTCTGGACCTCACAAGGTCAGATATGGGATTAGAAGTCGGAGGTTCATGGTCGGATTGGAAGCATCGGAAATTAGGAAACGAAAATGGAAGAGGCACCAGGTTTGAATATCATTCTCTTCTTCTCCATATATGTGCCCTAGGTTTATTTCTCTTACTTTATCATTTTCTTATTTTAATTTGGGGCTCTCTGCATTCTCATAAATTTTGAGATAGTGTGAGATCTATGAGAGATCCAATCCAGAGCATGCCTGCGATTGTGTGGGAGTATGGGCGAGAGCATATATAGATATAATACAAGTATAGAGTGTTTATTTATAGCAGTCAAAAAGATTTTTGGTTCTAGATACGTATGTAGAGAATGAATTTTTGATTTTATTTTGATGGGAAATGTACAACTGCATAGTATATGCCAGGTGTTTGTAAAAATGCAAAACCATAAAGAAATTGAAAAACTAAGCATTTACATGATTTCTTTCTATAACTCTAGTTATTTTACATTATATAATGGTTTCTTTTTGAAACCCAACCACTGCCTCATGCATTACCAACTGGTGTTGATGTAGAAGACAGGTTAATTATAGAAGGAAATGGTAATACAGTTTCAGTAGATGATATAGTGGATAAGGTCACATCAATGGGTTTCAGGAGGGACCTTGTAAGAGCTTCTGTGAGAAACCTCACAGAAAATGAATATGTGTGGATCTTAATACAGTTCTTGATAAGATGATGAACAACAAATGAAATGATCAAATCTATCTAATCTCCTATGATGTACAAAAATTGCAAAAAGGAACAAAATTCCAGCTACACGATGTACAAATTAAAGGTGTTGTTAGGAAGCCAATTTCATGCTTGCAAAAGGCGAATTTATCTCATTGTGGTAAGTGGTCTTTTCACTCTTAGTTTCCATGTCATTTGTATTATAACAAATGATTTGTGATTGATATTATATTTATATAAATCATGCTGTAGTTTGTTCCCACTTGGTAATCTTGTAATTTGCATATGCTTTTATTAATAGCTGATGTATAAGTGATAAAAGATCTATAGCATAATTTATCCCAGAATGTAGATATTGAATAACCTATATATTCACATCCAAATCCAAGAATTAGTAACGTACTTCTATTTGGCTTATTTTATTCTTTCATTCTATCATTACGATTTCAAAAAAAAAAAATCTTAAAGACATTATACTTTGAAGGAAGCTGGTAATTATCAAATAAAGAAGGAAGTTCTCAAAGAGGTGTGTGTGTGTGTGTATATATATATATATATATATATATATATATATATATATATATATCTGATATGTTAATGTTTTGATTGTTATCAGGGTGGACGAATGGCAGCTATACACTTGGAGTCAAGAGCAGCTTTACTTGCAGCAGAACAGGTGATTGGATTTGGATATAAATATAATATATTTATATTATCACAATCTCTTTATTTTTTTGTTATTTTCATATTTTTTGGATATTAAATATAAATATAATATAATATTAAGTTGTGAATTTTTTTAGTGAAAATATTGTTTATGGATTGGTGATTTTGTGAACAGGGGTTAGCAGGTAATGCATCGCGAAATCTTGGTGTTAATTAGGAGCATAATGGTGTTACTTGGTCCTATGTATTATTCCTTTTTTACCTTCCACTAATAATACTTTATTTATTTATGTATTTATATTTATTTATGCAGGCTATGGGGAACATTACTAGCAGACATTGTTATTCAAATGCTTGGAACTGATTATGCAAGAATCGTGCGTGCAATTTATGCGTTTCCACAGGTAATCTATGAGATCTCTTGGAAGAAATAAATGCTTTTTGTGAAGGAGACTCCTGTCCCAAAACATTCCAACTCTAAAAGTAATGGTCTTAATGGGAGCATGAGCATCTCCATATCAGATGCTGATAAATCCTCAAAACATTCCAACTCTACAGCTTTTCACATGTGCTTTTGTGAAGGAGCTTTTCTCATGAGCAACTATTGTTTGGATATATGATGTTTATAAAAAATCTAATGGTTTAACAGTTACTTTTTTACTTGATGTTAACAAAATGTCCTAGTGGGTTAAGTTAGGAAAGTGATGATTCCATAAAACAATTCACTTTTTCTTTTCCAGTTTCCCCCATAACAGAGATACACCTCTCTTTTTAATTTATATTTTTGTTAATTTACTATAACGAATATCTAGATTGTTTTATAATTTTCACTTTTTTTTTCCAATTATTATAATTAATTATCATGTTATTTTTTTATTGTGATATTGTACAGTTTTAGTTTATTACTGTAATTAAATAAAGGGTAATTTGTTTACCTCAGATACAATGGCAAAACCTCAGAAACAGGTACAATATGTGTCGATTACCTTTTTGCCCTTCATGTTTTTTGAGTCTTCTATAGTGTCAAATGTTAGAGTACAAGTTACTTATGTATTAGCTCTATCCACTGTTGCATTCTCCTGTTAGAGTACAAGTTACTTAAATAAATGGTAATTTATTTTCATTGTTTTGTTTTAAACTTATTTATCATATTGGTTAAGTAGAAGAAAATTTGTAACAATATTTTTGAATTTATGCATATAAATGGTGTTATATTGTTATGGCTAATTCTAATCTTTTTGCTTTGATCCTTTAGGTGTATAAAGATGTGATGCAGAGCATGAAACAAGCCTGGTTGCAGCAAATGTGATGATATAGGTTTAATTTGTCAAGTAGACACAATGTTTATCAGTAATTACATTCAAGAAATTGTGGTTTCTGCAATTTCTCATCATTTGATGCTTTAAAGCTTGAGAATGGTTATTTGTATGATATTAACTTTTGTGTAATGGATTGTATTTTTTATATATGGTATTTTATTTTCTACTATGAGATATGAAAATGAAAATTTAACTTGAAAATTAGTAAACCTGTAAATAATTTTTTTTTTTAAAAACAAAATTTTAATTATGATACGCAAAAATGTGTGTCATCTTCATTTATGACATGGCCTTTCTTGACAGCAGCTTTAATGATACGCATTGCGTGTCATAAATGCGCGTCATCTAAAGACGACGCGCAAAAGCGTGTCGTCTCTCGTTATGACAGGGCCTTCCTTGACACGCATTTGCGCGTCGTCTGAGCGTTTTACGACGCGCAATGAGCGTCGTAAAAGGCCTTTTTCTAGTAGTGTAGGGTTTCTTGACCCCTTTGTTAGTTAGATTTGATGTCCATTTCATCCCTATTTGTGATGAAGCTTGAGATGGGATCCATAGAGGTCCAGAGAAGCTTTATGAGGATTAATGGGAGTTTTGACCTAGAGTTATGAGATATGGGGCTAAAACATCATTTAGGAGAAAATAGTTGTTGTTTGAGCACCAAGGTTTGGACTTTACGTGATTATCATGCTTGGGGAGGCCTGATCTATGATTGTATGGAACAGATCTGACCTCAGAAGTAAGTTTGAGTTTATGCATGGGATGGACTCGCCGAGTCTGAAGAATAGACTCGGCGAGTAGCATGAAGTTTGCCCATAACCACTCAGTGAGTGGTATTGTTGAGTTGAGGAGTCGACTTAGTGAGTTAGGGAGAGTCAGGGGGTGACTGAGTGAAGTTGGAACTCGTCGAGTTGTTCTTGAGACTCAGCGAGTTGAGTCGTGCTGGCCCCACAATTTATGCCAGGTGAAACTCGTCGAGTCAGAGAAGTACTCGGCGTGTCAAGAGAGGATCCAAGGGAGTCAGTGGACACGTATAGACTCGCTGAGTCGCCCTAGTGCACTTGCCGAGTCCGGTCAAAGTTGACCGTTGACCTTGTTAACCTTTAGGGTTGAGTTCAGTTGTATTTATGAGTGTATTACTTTGTGTGATTAGGCGGAGGCTAGATCACATTTATTCTGAGACATATATTTACCGAGATACGCGAGGTGACTCTTCTTACTATACTTTACCTTGAGTAGGTAAATAGAGTTATGTGATACAATGTTTTATATATATTATTGTTGCACTGCATTCTTCTATGTGATTTATGTTGTGCATGCCTGCAGAGTTAGAACCTGAGGGTTCACAGAGTTTTGGGTTCATGGACCCACAGAGTTATAGCCTCGAGTGGCAACATGTGTTATATGTGGTATTTTGGGGAACTCACTAAGCTTTGTGCTTACAGTGTTTTGTGTCATATGTTTCAGGTACTAGTGAGGATTGCGGGAAGGCGCCGGCTTGATCAGTACACATACGGGATTTTTATGCTATGAGATCTTAGGATTGTTGTATGTTATAAATTGAGTTTCAAACAACGATGTTTTTATGATTTACAAATGAATTATGTTTTTATAAATGCGAAAAATTGTTTTGGAAATTTACGGTGTTACATCGTGAGAGTCCACTAGGTCATATTCCAGCAACTCGCACCTAAATTAGATAACTCATTTATGGATTTCCTACTGGACTGACCTTATAACATGGGAAACACATAGTTACAACGTGTGTAACATCCGTATTTCCAGGTATAATATTTTAATTGTTTAATTTGAGTTATGAGGAGGGACTCAACGAGTTGATGCTTAGACTCGCCGAGTAGGATCGCGATTGCTGACTAGATTAATGAACGGACTAGACGAGTCGATGGGTGGACTCGACGAGTCCGCGTTGATGTCAGAAACCTTAAATGTTTGAGCCTGTGCCCTATTTAAGGGACCTTATAGCCCTCATTTGCGGCTACCAGTCCAAAGAGAGAAACCCTAGAGAGCTTGAGCGAGTTGTGTGAGAACGAAAGCTATTTTGATCCCTTTTGTTGTGGTTTTGCAAAGAAGAAGGTGTTTCCAGCAAGTGAAGGTCAAGGGGATTTTGATTTTGTGGTTTTCAAGCTTGGGTCTTCATTGTTGAGGTAGAAAATCGATCCCTTCTTCTGTTTTGTACAAATCCTTGAATCTAGGGTTTTCTATAACCCTTTATTGGCTTGAATTGATGCATATGTTGTCCCTCTTAGTGTTAGACTCTGGATCTGGACCTTTAGAGGTCCAGAGAGCATTATATATCCAACTTTATGTTGTTCCATGGAGGAAATGAACCTAGGATGCCATTTTAGAATCCATTTCACCAAAAGAAACTTTGTATTAGTTGCAACTTTGTATTAGTTGCATGAGTGTCAATATTTGACCTTGAAGTGATTATTGGATATGGGGAAGTCAGATCTATAGGTTAGAGAAGCAGATCGGACCTCAGGGGGTCGATTGGGTGATCATCATGGAAGAAACTCGCCGAGTCCACAAGGGGACTCGACGAGTCGAGTCGGGTTGCCCCGCGACTCGTGACCAAATGTAGCCAGTCGAGTGAGGTTTAGAAAGATCCAGATTACATGCTTGGAGTCGCCGAGTCCCTTATGTGCACTCGATGAGTCTGGTCAAAGTTTGACCGTTGACTTTTGTTGACTTTTAGGTTTGGGTCAACACTTGGACTTTTGGACCATTAGAAGGGTAAAAATGGTCTTGTAGCCTTCTGAGAGAACATTGGAACATACTAGACTAGCCTGGAGAGCCGTTATTGATTTGAGATGATTGCTATATGTTTAGGCAGGGCTAGGTCATTATTACGAGGTTCAGGGATACCAAGCACGTGAGTTACTAGACAACATACGAGGTGACTCTTCTCACTATACATTACTTAGATTGGTAACTATGTGTGTCATGAAGGTCTTATATGTTATGCAGAGTATGTGATATGTGTTGCTATGTGATATGTATGTGCTATGCTATGTTATGAGTAACATAATATGGACCGGAAGGTCAATAGTGTATGGACCGGAAGGTCAAGATGATAAGGACCGGAAGGTCATACGGGTAGGGCCGGAAGGTCCACCAGAGTTGGGAGGGAAGTCCCCTGAGACACATGGATCGGAAGATCCCATAGAGTTATGTCCATGAGTGGTGTATGTGTTATATATGGTATTTTGGGGAACTCACTAAGCATTTATGCTTACAGTGTTATGTGTTATGTATTTCAGGTTCTAGTGATGATCGTGGGAAGGCGCCGGCATGATCCGTACACATTGGCAGAAGACTTGTTTTATGATCTTGGGATATGTTTTTATCGTGATGACATTTGTTAAACTTGATAATTTGAGAATATTGAATGATTTTTATGTTATTTGAAAAATGAAAAATTATTTTGAAAATTCACGTTGTTACATTGTGAGTTCCATGGACTCAACGATTTATGGGCTTAATTGTTGTCATGTCGTGAGACCTTATATGTCACACCCCCAAACCAGAACGGCGGAATCGTTCGAGGGTGGATGACTTCATGTAGTATCATAACAATTGAATACATAGTAAAGAAAGCAGTACAACCATCACATAGATAGTTTAAAAGTTTACATTGTTGAAAGGTACTTGTTTCAAAGGAAATTACAACATGATGTTTAAAATGAAATTAACCTAATGCAGCAATGTCCCTTCTTCAAAAGCTGCAGTTTACATGTATTACTGAATCCCTGAGAAATACAAGTGGTTTTGAAAGAGTAGGTCAGCATTTAAGTTGGTGAGTTCATAAGTATTTAGTGACAATGTTTATATGAATAGGAATGAAAATGTTTCGTTCACGTTAAATGTTCCAAGAAAATCCCTTATTTTCTACAAAGTATATGATTGTTTGATTTGTTCCAAAACTGTTATGCAATAGTGCTTTTCATGCCTAAAATAGTAGTTTTATGTGCAAATCGATAAGGCATTTGAAAAAAAAAACCTGTAAATCAATGTGTTTTTAATACTACATGTGAGTCTTATAACCATGCTATTTGATTAGGATGCCTATATCAACGTTCTTCAGGAATTGGAAAGTTATGACGTTTGTCACCCCAAGCCTTTCGGCCTAACTGTAGCTAACAGCTTAGGTGTGGGATTGTCAATCCCATATAGATCTATACACAAGTATCAAGCTCCCCCTACAAGGGATTATGGTATATAATACAAGATTTAAATGCATATTTAAAAGTACGTGAAATGTCTCATAAAATTTAGTATAAAGCAGATTTACGTATGAAAATGTCCATTTGTTTTTGTATATGAAAATATCTTCTTTGATGTAGTGTACCTAGTATGTAAATGTTCATGATTTCCTCGTAAACTATACCTATTATAGTTTGTCAAAATGTGTTTCGTTCACATAGTAAACCCTAGTGTAATGCTCACTCCTTATGTAAAGTATAACACGTAAAGTGACTTAACTGTTCACATATACCTAATGTAAAATAGAGCATTTGACTTGCATATATATATATATATATATATATATATATATATATATATATATATATATATATATATATATATATATATATATATATATATATATATATAGACACGTTTTATTTCCACAAGACAAGGTATTATTGAAAATATATATTTCATGCGAGAATACTCATGTAGTAGTTTATGAATCACATATGATTACTTAGATAGAAAGTTTATATAGTGAATTGTTAGGTTACACACGATAATAATCGTGTGTTTTACTTGCATCCCCCCCCCCCCTTAATATTGTATAAAAAGCATTTATAAAACATTTAAAAACGTAGTTTATAGGGGTATGAACTCACTTGAATGATTGAAGAAAGCGAGATGAAAATCGGGCAGAACTTTGACTCGAGAAAGCGGATTTTCTCGGGATTCTTGGGAATCTCGGGAGCACAAACGACCTTCGGGAGTTGAGTATGGA